CAACCAAAATAAATATGCATGGTATGGTGGCACATTCCTTTAATCCCAGCACTCAGGGATGCTGAGTTAAGAGAATTGCCCCAAGTTTGAGGCCAGCCTGGACTGTTCAAGTATCCTTGAACTACATAGCAAGACCTGCCTCAAAAAATAAAACCAAAAAAAAAAAAAATTGATTAGCTTTTCCAAAAAAAAGCTTTACTTTGCAAAATTGCTCCTTTAAAATCATTCTTCTTGCCTTTGTTGCTTTGCTGTCCTCTGCCTACCATGAACTGTTTCTCCTCTGCAATGCCTGACTGCCATGCCACCCTGCCTTGGAGTCAGCTGGTTATGGACTAAAACCTCCACACACTATCATTTAGCATCTGTTTTCTGTTCAAATGAGCTGTCCTAACTGTATCAGGCCTCTTTTACTGTAATTGTCTGAAAAGCCTGGAAAAGGTGTAAAAATCACCAAGGAAGACTCAATATCCTTGGCCAAGAAGGTCACCAGCCAAGGTCTTATCTCTTGCAATGAAATCTTGACCTCTGGTTGACCAGCAATTTGTTGACAAAATGCAGACACAGAAGCAAAAGTAAAAATCTTTCACGGGTCATAATTTCCCTGAGATAAAGTATATCTAAAAGAGGCCTTTGGACGAAAACATCTCCAGCTCAAGTTCCTACGCAATACTTGGTGGTTAACATTACTCCAAAATACTTTTCACTTCATGACTGCCAGGGTCTTTCCACTTATCCATTTGTGAAGATTCTTTCAAAGATGGCTTGGAAGCTAACAAGGCAATTTGGGCATTTATTTTGCTGGTAATTTTCTTTTTTCTTTTTTGTCTTCTTGAGACAGGGTCTCACTATGCAGTTCAGGCTGGCCTTGAGCTCACTTTGTAGCCCAGGCTGGCCTTGAACTCTCCAACGATCTTCCTCCCTCAGCCTCCCGAGTGCTGGGATTTCAGGTATGTGCCACCATACCCAGCTGTTGCTGGTAATTTTCAAAACTAATTCCTCAGTAAGAATAGTTCAAAATGCTTCAATAGTTTCACTGACATAAACTTTTCTGCCAGATGTGTGGATAAAGTCACATGACTGATGTGGCATAATAACATGAGTTGACCATTTCAGAGTGTAGCTCAACTCTGCTGATTTAGGGCCATTTCCATCAGATTCCAAATCAGTTTCCGTCAGATTCCAGATCTGCTGGAGCCCTGACCATAGTCTTCCAAAGCCCTGTCTAAAAAAATCATCAGAGTCTTCTATTTCAGAAAAATCAAAGGCATTAGATGTATATAGCCTACATGTTCCAGAGCAATGCTAACATTGTGCCTAGGAATGCTATATTTTCTAGGATCTGACATCCTCAGTGATTAAGAATGTTATGGCTATGTCTAGTTGTTCTCCCAAAGCCTCTTGTGGTCTTAGGTGGGGCTTTTTGGAGGTGGCTGGATCTAGGGTGTGGACTGCTGGGATCAAGGATGTGATGTGGAATTGATTCATGCTTCGATGCTGGAATTAAGGGTGCCCCACCCTGGGTATGAGCACTACCCAATGTAAAATAAGGTAAAAGGAACAGAAAGAGGCTCAGTACTTGTTGCTTGCTGCTTTTTTGCTGCTTTGCTGCCTTCTGCCAGCCAAGAACTCTTTCTCTTCTGTGATGACCCTCTGTGAGGCCACCCTGCCTTGGAGCCAGCCAACTATGAACTGAAACTGCAACAAGCTGTGAGCCAAATAAACCTTTCCTCCTTTTTAAAAAAAAAATCATTCTAGCAGAGTTTGGTGGTGCATACCTGTAATCCCAGTACTTGGGAGGCTGAGGCAAGAGGATCGCTCTGAGTTCAAGGCCAGCCTGGGCTATATAGCAAGACCCTGTCTCAAAAAAAGTGCTGGTAATGCAGCTTAGTGTGAAAGCCATGGGTTCAATTGCCAGGACCACAATAATTAATCAATTAAAAGTAAAAAATGATAATTGATCTATCATTAATGAAGTCTGTGTCTCAATAAGGGCAGTGTTTTGGAGGGCAAAGGAGAGCCATATTCCCATTTTTCTGGTGGTCCTAGGGGAGCTCCCTGAATCATGCATTAGGAGAGTGCAGACCACTCCCACTCTAGGGAGGAGTTTTGCTTTGTTTCTGTGCCACACCCCCGCTGGGGGTTCAACCAGGGGTTCCCTGTGTCATTGAGCTGCACCCCGCCCACAGCTCAGTTCTTGGCTGTCAGTCTTCTCAAAGGACATCTGATCCAAGCTGGAACAGAATGTTCTTTCATTCTGAGCTTCTAACTTCTACCAAAACGGTTGGATTTTTCCATTTATAAACCCATTTATTACCCAGGGAAAGTGGCACATGCTTGTAACTCCAGCACTCAGAGAGGTTGAGGCAGGATGACTGCAAATTCCAGTCCAGCCTGGACAATTTAGCGAGACCCTGTCTTGAAGTAAAAAATAAAAAGCTGGGTATGGTGGTGCTCACCTGTAATCCCAGCACTCAGAAGGTGCAGGCAAGACAATTGCAGTGATTTTGAGGCCAGCCTGAACTACCATATTTCCTTAAAAACAAGACCAGGTTTCATGTTCATTTTTGCTCCAAAAGATACAGGGTTTATTTTCAGGGGCTCTTTTATTTTTTCACGTACAGCAATCTACATTTACGACACATGGCATATTGCATTATGAAGATTCATATTAGATGCAGTCACATGGTTCTGCCCCCAGCCAGCAGCCACCTTGTTAGCATACAAAACACTCAGCACTGTGAGCCAGTAAAGGTTTCAGGAGCTGTGTGGCCAGAGAGGGAGACACAAATACACGACTGTGTCTATCTGTCACTGTGTCACAGTGTCCTTTTAAGTTGCAAAATACAAAGCTAGAGGTTTGTAGAACACTTCTTTGAGATTATGTCACCTGCATATTCTTTTGTGTGTGTGTGTTTTTGAGGCAGGGTCTTGCTGTGCAGTTCAGGCTGGCCTTGAGCTCACTTTGTAGCCCAGGCTGGTCTTGAACTCGCAACGATCCTCCTGCCTCAGCCTCCTGAGTGCTGGGATTACAGGGGTGCACCACCACACCCAGTTTACAGTGTTTTATGTACAATATTTTTGTTGCAGTTTTGGGGTGGGCAGTACTTGGGATTGAATTGGGGGACCCTCTACTACTGAGCTATGTTCCCAGTCCTTTTTATTTTGAGACACTGTCTTGCTAAATTGCACAGGCTGGGCTTGAATTTGTAATTCTTAGGAAGTGCTGGGATTACAGGCATGCTGCACCTCGTCAGGCAGTGCATTTCTAGACTCTATATGTGCATTTCATTGATAAGTCAAGGAGTTTTAGGGGCTGGGGATTTAGCTCAGTGGCACAGTGTCTGCCTGGCAAGCGCAAGGTGGTGAGTTCGATTCCCGGTACCGGAAAAAAAAAAAAAAAAAAAAGGAGTTTTTTGGCCAAAGGAAGAAAAATCGTTTTGTCATGTAAAGGCCTCGGCCTCAGCTCAGGGTGGTGCTGCGACAGACAGTTCTAGCCCAGAGGCCCAGAATCAGCCTGCACCCTTTTGCTGCTGCCTGTGGGCTGCTCTGAGCTCCCAGCAGGGCTGAGACATTTGATGAACCGCGTTGCACTGTAGAGGGGTCAGGCGCTCCCGCGACTGCGGCGCCCTCCACCGGTGTGTGTGATTACTGTCATCGGTGAAACGGAGGTTGAGCTTCCGGCTTTACCTGGCCCTGCAGCCCAGTCATTAAAGTAGGAAGACACCCTTGTGGTCACAAAACGCAAAGTGCCAGGCAGGACTTCAGTGCAGCTCTGCACGCTAAGTATTCTGTTTCCTGATTCGAGAGAAACCATATCTCCGCTAGGTCCTGGTAGGAGCAGACAGAGGAGCTGCTCCGGCCGGGCGCAGCCTGTGCCGGGATGCACGTCCTTACTTTGGCCTCGTGGATCTGTTCTTTTCCTTGGGAAGCTGCTGTTTTACAGCTCTGTCCTTTTGAGTTCGGTGATGTTGCTCTAGTTAGGACCTGGAATGTCCCCCAGAGGTCCAGGGGTTACAGCTCGGTCCCCAGCTTAGCACTGCTAGGTGGTGGGATTTTTAAGAGGTGAGGCCTAGCCAGACATGGTGGCTACCCATCCTCCATGAATAGAAGTTTTTTGTTTTTTGGGGTTTTTTTGGTCTTTTTGAGACAGGGTCTGGCTATGCAGTTCAGGCTGGCCTTGAGCTCACTTTGTAGCCCAGGCTGGTCTCGAACTTACAAGGATCCTCCTGCCTCAACCTCCTGAGTGCTGGGATTACAGGTGTGCGCCACCAGGCCTGCCCGTGCATAGAAGTTTATTTATAATTAAAATACTTGATCATCAACACTTGGGAGGCTGAGGCAGGAGGATCACTGTGAGTTCGAGGCCAGCCTGGGCTACACAGTGAGTCCAGGCCAGACTACATAGTGAGGCCTGTCTCAAAAATCAATAAATTAAAAAATTTTTTTTAAATGGAGGAAACAGTGGCACACACCTGTAATCCCAGCTACCCTGAGGACTAAGACAAGAGGATTGAAATTTCAAGGCCAGTATGGGCAGTTTAAGGACTAAGCCTGACATGGTGAACACACCTGTAATCCCAGTACTTGGGAGGCTGAGGTAGGAGGATTGCCTCAAATTCAAGGCCAGCCTGGGCTGCATAGTGAGACCTTGCCTCAAAAAACCAGATACATACATACATACATACATACATACATATTGGGGGTGTGGCTCTGTGGTAGGATAGCCTTGGGTTTAATTCCCCAGTACCAAAAACAAGCTTGCCTGAACTTTCACTTGCTCTGGTATCACAGTGTTGTTGGCCAAGAGACAGGTTAGATTCCAGCAAGTGATGTTATATTTAGACATAGAATCCAAGGTTTCCCCTCATGCCAAGCAAAAATGTCATGGTTCCCATTCAAAACAAGACTGTGACAAAATGTGAGTAGAGGTATTTATGCGTCCATTGGTATGTTTTATGACATATTTTGGTTTTTGTGACTTGTTTGCTTGTTGTTTGCAGAGCTGGGGAACAAACCCAGGACACTGTGTGTGCTAGGATGTCACTCCAGCCCTGAGCTACACCTGTGGCTTTTGAAATGGGAATAAATTGGAAGCAAAAGACCTCGCGTGGAAAAATTTTCAATTTTTTAATGTAAGTTTGCTAGGGCCAGGGCAAAAGTTTTGAGAGAGCATAACATCAGTGAATCCAGCGGATAGGAACCAAAAAGAGATGGAATTTGCCAATAGTTTTAAAGTACAGTATAAAAGCACACGGTGCCCTAAGATTATAGAAAACATGCCATCTGTATTTGAACTGCAGGCGAAGTCTAAGACAAAGATTTCTGGCAGTGATGATTTATATGGGTGGAGGCCTGCTTTTCCTACTGGAGGACGGAGCATAGTTAGAAACATAATTTAAGGGCAGATAATATTTTCAACCGTTAAATCACAGGACTACTGAGAAATAGAACATCAAAGACAGACACTGGCTGAGGGACTGAATAAACATGACCTAGAAACAGAACACACAGTCCTTGGCTTCAGCAAGTAGTTCTCCACCCAAATGCTGGAAATTACATTAAGCAACAACACTGTTAAACCACGGATGACTCCGTCTACCAGCTGCTCGCAGCCCAGAGTGACTGGCTCGCCAGGGGCAGAAAGTGAGCAGGCACTGGGCAGTACTAGGTGAACATTTTCAGGGTGCCAGTCTTGTTCCGTGTGGTAGATATCGTATATAATTCTCCCAATAATGCTATTGTGATGCTATTATTAACTTGTAGAGAAAAGGAAAATGAAGGCAGGCAGGGTGTCACACTCCTATGATCCCAGCACTTTGGAGGCTGAAGCAGGAAGAATCCTGAGTTCGAGGTCAGCCCAGGCTACATACTAAGTTCTGAGTGTGTAGCAACACCTTGTCTAAAAAACAAAAAAAAAAAAAAAGAAAGAAAAAAAGAGGGCACCAAGGAAAGTCATCTCAGCTTTGACTTCAGAGCCTACATTCTTAATCACTGTCCTCTAAAACTAGAGTCTCCATACCAGTGTTTAATAATCTGTACAGGGTGGCTAGTGGTGGCATGGAGAAAGCATTTTTTAAGGTAGAAAAGCACTTCATGAGACTTTATTTATTTAGTTTTTTGAAACATGGTCTTGCCATGTAGTTTAGGCTGGCCTCAAACTCACAGTAATTCTCTTGCCTCAGCCTCCTAAGTGCTGGGATTACAGGCTTGCACCATCATGCCTCGCTTCATGAGACTTTAATCTCTAAAATTTATAATTTCACATGAAATCTTCACTGTAAATTATCACCTCTCCTTATTTTTGTGGTCCTTGGTGATGGGGTTTGAACCCAGGGTCTCACACTTGCTAGCCAAGCACTTGGCTACTGAGCTGCATTCTCAGCCTTTTTTTATTGTTGTTCTTTTGAGACAGGGTTTCACTATGCAGTCCAGGCTGGCCTTGAACTCATGGTGATCCTGCTGTCTCAGTCTCCTGAGTGCTGAGACAACACCCTCACTCCATCTTATTTTCTCTTTGAAGCTGCCCTGTACTCACTTTAGCAGGCAGAACATACACCAAAATTGAACCTGCCCAGAGGCTGGGGTGGGACAATGAGATTACGGAGAGTTTCCACTCAGGTTGTTTTCCTTACTAATCCTTTCTTCTTTAGCTTTTTTTGTTATTATTATTATTATTATTATTATTATTATTATTATTTTGTCTTTTTGTGATAGGGTCTCGCTATACAGTTCAGGCTATACTTTGTAGCCCAGGCTGGCCTCAAACTCGCAAGGATCCTCCTGCCTCAGCCTCCTAAGTGCTGGGATTACAGACATGTACCACCAAACCCAGCTCTTTTTCAGGTTTTTGTTCTTGTTCCTTCCCAGTCTGCTTTTCAGCTCTTTTTTTGCGGGGTGGGGTACCAGGAATTGAGCTCCGGACCTTGAGTTTGCCAGGCAGGTGCTGTGCCACTGAGCTATTTCCCCGGCCCTAACTCTTTATTTTTTAACTTTTCCCACTTCTGCAAGAAGAGCTGCAGTATCATGGTCATCACGCTGCTCTTCAAAATCTTCATCTTCCTCAGCTGTTAGAGGATCATCCCCATCAAGGTTGCAGCAGGAATCTGGTCTGACTGAGGCTTCTTTGACACTGAAGAAGAGGTCCTGTGGAGGGTTGGAAAATCTCTTTTTTTCTCCTGCAGGAGTTTTCTCTCTGTCTTCCAGTTCTCTCCTAAAGTCATAATTAGGAACCTCTTTAAGGGCATCCTGAGTAGTCTGGACCCTTGTCTTTTTTTTTTTTTTTTTTTTTTGGTTTTTCTCCCGTACCAGGAACCGAACTCACGATGTTGCGCTTGCCAGGCAGGCGCTTTGCCACTGAGCTAAATCCCCAGCCCCTGGACCCTTGTCTTTATGAGAGGGAAGGTCCCTGCTTGAATATTGCTTTGAGAGTTGGCTCGGTTCACCCTTTCCTTTTCTTCCACCACTTGCGGGCTCAAAAGTTGGCCTGGCTGCTGTGGTCATTTCTTGTGCATGGCTGCCTGCAGACCCATGTGTGGAAGAGCTTGAGAGCCATCTGCTCGCTGCAGATTCGAAGGGGCCAGTGAAGGTGACAGCTCAGTGTCCTCTGCGAGTCCGAGGGGTCTGCAACAGAAGCCAGGAGATGACGTCCAAGGTGAAGGTGAAGACTTCAGCTTCTCGGTGAAACAGAGCGAGGCTTCATTCTTGGCTTCCCACTTACACCATTCTGGCCATGAGACGCCCTAGGGTGGGCCCTCTGTCCTCAGTAAATCCCCAGCCACACCCAGAGCCCTGCTGCTCTGATTTAGTCGGGCAATTCTTACTCAAGCAGTGAACTGTCACATGTGGGTTGTATTTAATTTACATAAATTAAATTTCCACATACATATATTTCTGTATGCTTAGGACACAGGAACCTCATCCCCAAAGGACTGTAACAGCCATAAAGAAGGAACTCATTCTTTACGTTACTTTGAGGTTTCAGCAACCAAAACAGCTTCACCTGGACCGAGTGACTACTAATTTCCCTTAGTCTTGGGGGAAAAAGTGAATGGAGTGGGCGGAGAAATGTGATTTTTTTTCCACATATAATTATCAGAAAGGGTAGGAAAGTGTGTCCAGAGAGGGGAACAGGGTTTTTCTCCTGCCAGGGGTGGCCTCCCACTACACTGGTGCACCCCAGCTGTCACCTGGACTTGCTGCCCTTCCACAGTGGCGCCTTGGGTGGTGGGAGCGATCCCAGCAGAGTGGACCTCTGCTGTCCTTCCCGACCCACTCCCCTGCAGAAGGAGCGGCCACTGCCATCCTCCAGCCGCTCACTGGGGTTCTGGTACCAAGGAGCCTCCGAAGATCATGGAAGCAGCCCTGGGACTCCCGGCTCCCACAGTCCTCCCCGCTCACAGTCCTCCCCGAAGTGGCTTTGTACCGCTGGGTGTAGCACGACGGTATAGTTTATGCCTAACATGCTTGGAGCTCTGGGCTTGACACCTAGTACCCACCCCATCTTTTTTGGAGGGGTGGTAGTGGTGTTAGGGATTAAACTCAGGGCTTTATGCACATAATACAGGTGCTCTACCACTGAGCTACATCTCCAACTCCCCCAAAATTTATTTTTTGCTTTTTGAGACAGGGTCTCACTATGCAGTTCAAGCTGGCCTTGAGCTCACTTTGTAGCCCAGGCTGGTCTCGAACTTTCAGCCTCCTGAGTGCTGGGATTACAGGGGTGTGCCACCCTGCCCAGCAAATAGATATTCTTTTTTGGGGGGGTTCTGAAAGTTGAACTCAGGACCTCACGCCTGCAAGGCAGGTGCTTGTGCCATTGTGCTGTATCCTCAGCCCAGGTTTTTTGTTTCTTGAGATAGGGTCTTGCTATGTATTTCAGGCTGGCCTTAAACTCACTGTGTAGCCTAGGTTGGCCTCAAACCCCTGGGAATCCTCCTGCTTCAGCCTCTCAAGTAGTGGCATTACAGGCATGCACCACACTTGGCTTCCCAAAATTTCTTTCTTTCTTTTTTTTTGTCTTTTTGAGACAGGGTCTCACTATGCGGTTCAGGCTAGCCCTGAGCTCACTTTGTAGCCCAGGCTGGTCTCAAACTTGCAATGCTCCTCCTGCCTCAGCCTCCCAAGTTCTGGGATTGCAGGTGTGCACCACTACCCCCAGCTAAAGTTTCTTTTAATTATTTGTTAAATATGATATCATATTTGAATTTAAGATCCAGAGTTCTAGCCATATGTAATGGTACATGCCTGTAGACCCATCTATTGGGGAGGCTGAGGAAGGAGGATCTCTTGAGCCCAGGTGTTTGAGATCAGGCTGACCAATGTAAGATCTCATCTTTATTAAAAGAAAGAAAAGAGGCCAGGTGTGGTGGGGCATGCCTGTAATCCCAGTACTCGGGAGGCTGAGGCAGGAGGATTGTTGGGAGTTCGAGACCAGCCTAGGCTACAAAGTGAGCTCAAGTTCAGCCTGAACTGCATAGCGAGACCCTGTCTGAAAAAGAAAAAAAAAAAAAAAGAAAGAAAGAAAAGAGAACCTTTAAGTGTCCTTGCTTTTGGTTACCCTTTTCCAGGTGCATACATACAATGCACATTCTTTTTTTTTAATCTTTTTGAGACAGGGTCTCACTATCAGTTCAGGCTTGCCTTGAGCTCACTTTGTAGCCCAGGCTGGTCTCAAACTCCCAACAATCCTTCCTCAGCCTCCTGAGTGCTGGGATTAGAGGTGTGCACCACCACAATGCACATTCTTGATCAAGTTTCTCATCAACATCAGTGAACTAACTAACCGCTGAGCTTTGCCATAGATGAAAAACTTTGAGGGACATTGTGAGGGAGAAAAATAAATGGCCAGTCATTTGTCCTTGAAGAAGCACACAGTTGGAGAGGGAGGAAAAGCACATGAAAAATAAACTCTTCAAGCGCTCATGTCGCAGCTTCGGACACAGCAGGTTTCGGCACTCCCGTTTCACAGGTACTGCTCCCAGGCCCTCTCTTGTCTTTGGCTGGCTCCTGTATCTCAGCAGTGGCCCTTCAGTGTGATTCTTCAGTATCCTTTTGTCCTTTTTACAACCCACTGTCATCCTCAATAATTGCAAATCCTCCCAAGTCCTGAAGTTGATGTCCACCCAATGACTGCCAGATCTGTACTCTCTGTGCTCTGGAATCAGTTGCCACCTGCCTGCTGGGCTGGCCCTAGTGGACTCCGGGGTTGTCTTTTCCATGCCTATTACACACTAGCTAGTGGGGCGCTGCGCCATCGGCCTGTGTGTCCTACCCAGCACACTTTTTTTGGTTTGTTGAGGCAGGGTCTTGATACCGTATTTCTCCCAAAATAAAACCTAACTGGAAAATATGCCCGAGCACGATTTTTCAGGATGCTCATCATAGAAGCCCTACCTGCAAAGTAAGCCCCAGGTAAGATTGTCAGACAGGTACGTTTGGTACGTCTGTGCAGCGCACAATGCACATAATGGATTATAAGATAAAATTTAATTACATATAAAGAAACATTCTTGACATTAATACTTAAATAAATGATATAATTAAGTATTTATAAATACCCAAGCAGCCACCTTGAGATGAGAGGTGAACACCTATGTAAACAGATGAACTGGAGCCTTATTGCCAAATGACCAATCAAAGTACAGACACAACTCATGGATAACATGTGCACTTGGTAGCAAATGGACATGCTTGTGTCTAATATGAATCTTCATAATCCATGGTGCCTCAGTTCACAAACAATTCTGCCCGTGATTCAAGAAACTGGGGATACTCCATAGATTTCAAATTTAATATTGTTCTTCATGTTTTAGCCAATCTGAGTAGGGATTTTGCTGCTTTTATTCAGAAGAATACTAAGTGGCCAGATGTGGTAATACAGACCTGTAATCCCAGCACTTGGGAGGCTGAGGCAGGAGGATCATAACTGAACTGGAGGAGAACCAGATCAAATTTCCCTATAAGGTCAACACTGAACCTAACCAGTGAATTTGATTCGGTTCTCGTCCAATTTATTTTGCAGCCAGAATCGTGGGAAGAATTAAGTTCATGAACCGAGGTAGCACTGTACATTATGTGTGGCAGTCGGCATAGTAATTGTCCTCATGTGAAATAAACTTTCTCTGAATTTTGGTGCCTACAGTTTTTGTTGCTTTTGTCTGGATTGTCATTCTTTTTGTTTGTCTGTTTTTTTAGACAGGGTCTCACTTTGTAGCCCAGACTGGCCTCAACCACACAGCAACCCTCCTTCCTCAGCCTTCGAATGGTGGGATTACAGGCAGGCACCGCACAGCTGGCTTTACCGTCATTTTTAATTGTGATCGTTTTTGTTGCCACTCGCCTTGTAAATCTTCAATTAACACTAGATGAAATGGAAACTCTAGGAAGCCAGCCTGCAAGCGTTGTGACGTGGGTGAAGAATTCCTGGGAGGACATCACGGACAGCTGTGTTACCGATGCCCTGCGAGCAGGCTGCACTGACAAGGAGTGCGCCTGTAAGGACAGCTCAGTCGCCGGACAGGAGAGATGGGGGCCAGTGGCTCCACAGGAAGCGGAGTCACAGGAAAAGGCCAGAGTTCAGGCTTTGGAGAGTTATGATAACGTTCCAGAAGAAAATGACAGTCTGTATTTGAATAAATGTAGATTTTTGTTTGTTTCTGAGACAGGGTCTTGCTATCGAGTTCAGACTGGCCTGGACTCACCATGCAGCCTAGGCTGGCCTCACACTTAAGGTGATCCTGCGTGCTGGGGTTACAGGCTGGCCTCAAACTCAGCCTCCCGAGTGCTAGAGTTACAGGTGTGTGCCACCGTGCCTGTAGAAAATGTAGATTGTTATATGTGAACAAATAAGACGTTCTCTGAAAATAAGCCCTAATGTGTCCTTTGGAGCAAAAATTAAAATGAGACCCAACCTTATTTTCAGGAAGATATGGTATATAGTTTAGAGTGGACTTGAACTCACTTAAGTAGCCCAGGCTGGCCTCAAACTTGCAGTGATCTTCCTGCCTCAGCCTCCCGAGGGCTGGTATTCCAGGCATGCACCACCATACCAGTCTTTTCCTATGCAATACTCTCACTAGTGATTGGTTTAAATGATTGTGGTCTAGAGCACTGGTTTGGTGTTGACATCCCATGTAGGTACTGACAAGGAAAGAGACCTATAAAAAGAGGTGACCTCTCTTTTCTCTAGTATAGCCATGTGCAGACTCAGGACAGAAAAGTGGTGATGTCCTTACACACTCGCCCAAGGGAAGCTGACCTGGGGTGAAAAGCATAGCCCAGAGACTCTCTGGGGAAGGAAACTGGGGACACTCTAGGTCAGCTCTAAAGCCCACTCTACAGATTTCCACTTTGAGAGTTTAACACTGTTCTTCATGTTGCAGCCAATCTGAGTGAGGGTTTTTGCTGCTTTTATTCAGAAGCATACTAATTGGCCAGGCATAGTAATACACACCTGTAATCCCAGCACGTGGGAAGCTGAGGCAGGAGGGTCATAAATTCAAGTACAACCTGGGGAATTTATCAAAACACTGTTTAGAAAGTGGGGGAGGGGAGAAAGGGAAGAAAAGAAAGGAAAGGAGGGAGAAAGGAAGAAAGAACCAGGCGTGGTGGCGCATGCCTGTAATCCCAGCATGTGGGAAGCTGAGGCAGGAGGATTGTTTCGAGTTTGAGACCAACCTGGGCTACAAAGTGAGCTCAAGGTTAGCCTGAACTGCATAGCAAGACCCTGTCTCAAAAAGAAGGAAAAAAAAAAAGGAAGAAATGCTAAACTAGGCATAGTAGCCCATGCCTCTAAATCCCAGCACTAGAGAGGCTGAGTCAGGAGGATCATAAATTTATTTTTTTTATTTTAAAAATAAAAGAAGGAAAACATTAACAAACAGACAACCATTTACAAAATAGCAAAAGAACAATACAAACAATATAGAGTTACAAACAAAGTGGTATGAAATTAACAATGCTTGTTGTAGTACATATTTGCTTTTTTTTTGGTTTTTTTCCAGTACCAGGAATCAAACTTATGACCCTGTGCTTGCCAGGCAGGCACTGTGGTGCTGAGCTAAATCCCCAGCCCTGACACATTTTGTTTGCTTTTTTTTTTTTTTTTTTTTTTTTTGGTTTTTTTCCTGTATCAGGAATCGAACTCATGACCTTGCACTTGCCAGGCAGGTGCTGTGCCGCTGAGCTAAATCTGTATTACATATTGATATCTTCAAAGTGGTTTCTCAGGAAAACAAATAGAGACATGCAATATTGATCAAGGAATCATTAACTTCCTTTCAGCAAAGAAATAGAAGACAGTAGTTCAACTATGTTAACTATCCTGTATACACATACATACAAAATTTCTCCTTCTTTCCCTTTTCTTTTCCCACATCCCAGTTGCCCTTTACCCTTGCGTGTTTTCCTTTCGTTTCACAACGTCTGCCTCCTAGTTTTTATTCACTCTTTCAGGTTTTACACTAATGAGGCAATGCGGTGCTTGCACATGCAGGTCTGATTTATTTCACTTATGAGTGTGGTCTCTAGTTGTGACCATTTACTTATAAAGGACTCAAGTTTACCTTTCTTTATAGCTGAGGAATATTCCATTATATAAAAGTACCACAATTTTCTTGTCCAATCCTCGGTGGATGGACATTTGAGTTGCTTCCACAATTTAGCAATTACAAGTTGTGCTGCTATGAACATGGGTGCACATATATCGCTGTGATATGATGCTTTTAGATCTTCTGGGAAAATACCCAGAAAGGGGATAGCTGGGTTGAATGGGACCTGTAGACCTAGTTTGTTGAGGAATCTCCAAACTGATTTCCACAGTGGTTTCACCAGTCTGCATTCCCAGGCTCATAAATTTAAGGCCAGCCCGGACAACATAAGAAATTTAAGCCTGGCTTGGACTACAAAGCCAGATCCTGTCTCAAACAAGCAAATACCACATAAGGTGCTATACAACTATAATCCCAGCACTCAGGAGGCTGAGGCAGGAGGATCACCACAAGTTCCAGGCCAGTCTGAACTACATAGTGAGTTCAAGGCCAGCCTGAAGTATATACATAACAAGATCCAGTCCCAAAACAATTTTTTAAAAACTGGGCCTACAAAAGCTCACAAAGCGCAGAGATGAGCACCCACAAACTGAACTGTAACCAATGTGGCGTGTCCAGCGCTCCGGAGTCCTGCTCGCCCACCCTGTGACCCTGCAGCCCGCTGCCCGCGGCCTCACGGCATGGTCCGCACCGCCTTCCCGAATGGATCTTTTCCTGGAGGACAGATGAAGTTCAGGTTCTTCTGAGGACCTTGGCGAGCCCATCACGGGGCAGCAAAACGCACCTGTCACGGGGCGGGGCGGCGTGTGACATCATGCTGGTCGCGGTGCACACTGGGCGGCGCTGGCCCGCCCCGAGGTCGGGCTCGAGTTCGCTCCCTGCCGTGAGCGCCGCCTGCAGGTGTGGTCCGCAGCTGGCACCTGCGCCTCGCCAGCGCCGGCCCGGGGTGGGCTCTGGCCCAGCGGGGGGCCCCTCCAGGGTGCCTTGCAAGTCCCCAGAGGCGTCTCCTCGGGGATTGCCGGATCACCTCCCCCTCAGGAAACTCAGGTCCTCTACCTCACCCAAACAGCAAAATAGGAAACCCGAGGGACAAAGCGGGACGGGCCTGGGCTCCCTGGGGAGCCCTTCGTGGTGACCTGGGCGTCGCAGCTCCGGCCTTCGCCTCCAGCAGGCGGCCTTTCAGACCACAGCGCCAGATGCTTTGCCAACGGTCCTCGCCGTCCTCCTCGGCGGCTTCCCTCTGCGCGCCTTTCCCTGAAAGATTAACAGTCAGAAAGGGGGCGGGGTGTCTGTGGAGATGTATATAGCCCAGGCTGGGCCAGTCTAGTTTTCTATCCAGTATACTTTTCTATCACTCAAAACCCCTTCAATCCTCTTTTTGGTTTGTTTTTGATATAGGGTCCCATAATATAACCGAGGCTGGCCCTGTGAAACCTCCTGCCTCAGCCTCCTGAATGCTGGAATTACAGGCATGTCCCCCTATGCCTGACATCAATCCCTTTTTTTTGGTACCGGGAGTACAACACAGGACCTTGTGCTTGCCAGGCAAGCGCTTGTGCCACTGAGCTACATCTCCAGACCCTCAATGCCTTTTTTTATAAGTGTCACCTAAATGTTCAGACGCAGTCACTTAAGGAAGGATAAGTAGGACGTTTGTCTACCTTCCTTCCTGCCACTCAGAGCTACCAAACTGCTTTGAGTTTCCATGGTAACTTCAAACTCCTCACTCCTGTCTTCCTTGCTGGGACCCGGATGCACTCCCAGCGTTCCGCCTGTGAGCTACCCTGGAAAAGTGGGAGGAGAGACAAGGCGGCGCAGAGCTGGAGAACCACTGGCTAGTTACAAATCCACACTTTTCAGCGAGTGACAACGAGTTCCGGCAGGCAGAACACTTCCCATCTTTGTGTTGTGTGAAAGACATTTGCACTGACCTCGCTTTCTTTTCCGGGTGCCCGGCTGCATTGCTCTTTGCAGCTCGCTTTCTCTTGGTGGTAGCGGCTTGGCAGTTTTCGATGCTGTATCTCCCTAGTCTCCCTCCTCTGTACTGCTTAGCGCGTTGTAGAAATGCACATTTAAAACATTTGTCATAATGTACGTTTCCTTCTGGATCTTGAATGAAAATTGGGCCGCGGGCGTTTGAGATAGGAGACAGTCCTGCCTCTGTAGAGAAAGAGTGCCTTCTGGTGTTTGCAGTGACACTTCCTATCCGTGCTGTTTCCGTTCACCTGAGAAGTAAAATTATAAACATTTTTAGAAAAACAACATGTTTTATGCTTTTTGTAATTCATTATATTTAGCAAACATTGGCTCATCTTTTTTCACTTTTTAAAAATTGTACATCGTTGCAATTCACGCAGCTTACAGTCACCTTGGGGAGTGATCACAGGTACAGACCACGGCTGGTTTCTTTTTTAGTCCCCTCCCCCACTCCCTCCTCCAACTCTCCCATCTCGATTTTCATTCTTGTTGGTGTTAATCTGAGCTCACGTTCTGGCCCACGGAGCTTACGGTCATTGAGGTTGTCAGGCTCCTGTCCACGGCACAGCTTTATCCTACTTGTTTCCCCCGCCCCTCCTCACCCCTCGCCTTTGTTCCCTTAGACCCCTTCCCTACTGCAAGAGATCTGTCTACCCATCCTTTATTATTTTCCTTGTTTGTGCTTTGCCTCATTCAAATGAGAGATACCGTAGGGCATTTAAGCTTATGTCTGTGGTTTATTTCACTCAACATTATATTTTCTTTTTTTCCAGTACCGGGAATCGAACTCACGGCCTCGCCCTTGCCAAGCAGGCACTGTGCCGCTGAGCTAAATCCCCAGCCCCTCAACATTATATTTTCTAGGTGCATCCATTTTCCTACAAATGTCACAACCTGTCCTTCTTTATGGCCAAGTAATATTCCATTACATATAGATAACACATTTGCTTTATCCAGTCACCTGTTGGTGTGTATACAGGCTACTCCCAGGATTAGCTAGTATGTGTTGTGCTGCCATAAACATTGGTATGTATGTGTTGCTGTAGTAAAAAGGTCTTAAACTCTTTGGGGAAGACACCTAGCAGGAGGATCATTGGGTCATATGGAATTTCTGATTTCAGTTCTCTGAGAAATCTCTATACTGATTTCCATAATGGTTGTTCTGGCTTATG